TTCACATCCAGCAGAGGAGACAGAGCCAGAAATAATCACTCGGTCCCTATCCCTGGGTGAGCTACGTGAGCTCTGGAGAGAGTTCACGCAACAGGCGAATGAGTCCATTCTGACCCGGTTGCTCCTAATCTGGGACGCCGCGGCTAACGATACAATTCTAGATGGGAGTGAAGCAAGACAACTGGGATCCCTGTCTCGAGATGTAGTCATTGATCAGGGGATTGGAAGGAGGCAGGAAACTCCCAGCCTCTGGCGACGACTGTTGTCCAGTGTGAGGGAGAGATACCTTTGTAAGGAGGACCTCCACATACAGCAAGGACAGTGAAACATGATGGAACAAGGTATCCAGTGCTTAAGGGAATTAGCCGTACTGGAGATAATCTTTTCAGAGGACGAAAGATTCCCTAAAAGTCCAGATGGTGTACAGTGCACATCCCAGATGTGGTTAAAGTTTGCACGGCTGGGGCCAGAAATGTATTCCCACTACTTAGCAAGGCTGCAATGGAGGGAGGGAGAGGACAAGGTGGGTGCGTTGGTTAGTAAACTCAGGATTTATGAAGACACTGTCACCACCCCATTACAAGCCCACGTCTCATCTGTGGAAACCAAACTGGTCGAACATGTCTGAAGCCTGGAAGAGAAGATTGAAGAGGGTCACCAGAAGCTAAGAGAGGAATTTAAGGAAGGGATCTTCCATATCTCACCAGGACAAACAAAAGTCTCTGCTATCAGGAGCAGGCGTCCCCCAGCTAAGGAGAGAGGGTACACTCCACGTGGCAATCTATGGTTTTACCTCCATGAGCACGGAAAAGATATGAGGAAGTGGGATGGAAAACCCACCTCTTCCTTAGCAGCCCGGGTACATGAATTGAAAAGAGAAACAAGTACCACAAGGAACTCTTCGAGGATAAATGCTGCTCCAGTCTCTCGTGGGCAAAACTCCAGACGGCCCAGGAATGATGATATGTCTGATCCTCTTGAAGGGACCTCCAGGTCATACTTACAAGAAGAGCGCAGTGAGTACCATGACCAGGACTAGGGGGGCCCTGCCTCTAGCCAGGTAGAGGAGAGGGACAATAGGGTCTATTGGACTGTGTGGATTCGGTGGTCTGGCACATCAGATCTGCAAAGATACAAGGCTTTAGTTGACACTGGTGCACAATGTACTTTGAAGCCATCAAGATACGTAGGGGCAGAATCCATCTCTCTTTCTGGGGTGACAGGGGGATCCCAACAGCTGACTGTACTGGAAGCTGAAGTGAGCTTGACTGGGAAGGAATGGCATAGACACCCCATTGTGACTGGCCCAGAGGCCCTGTATATCCTTGGCATAGATTACCTGAGGAGTGGGTATTTCAAAGACCCAAAAGGATTTCGTTGGGCTTTTGGCATAGCTACTGTGGAGACAGAGGAAATTAGACAGTTGAACACCTTGCCTGGTCTCTCAGAGGACCCTTCTGCTGTGGGACTGCTGAAGGTTGAAGAACAATTGGTACCGATGGCCACAGCAACAGTACACCATCGGCAATACCGCACCGACCAAGACTCCGTGACTCCTATACATAAGATGATCCGTGAACTGGAGACCCAGGGGGTGGTCAGCAAGACTCGCTCACCCTTTAATAGCCCTATATAGCCAGTGTCTAAGTCCAGCGGAGAGTGGAGGCTGACAGTGGATTACCATGGACTCAATGAAGTCACACCACCCCTGAGTGCTGCTGTGCCGGACATGCTGGAGCTTCAATATGAGCTGGAGTCCAAGACAACCAAGTGGTATGACACCATTGACATTGCCAACACCTTTTTCTCCATTCCTTTGGCAACAGAGTGCAGGCCACAATTCGCTTTCACTTCGAGGTGTGTACAGTACACCTGGAATTGACTGCCCCAGGGGTAGAAACACAGTCCCAGCATTTGCCATGGACTGATCCAGACTGCACTGGAAAAGGGTGAGGCTCCAGAACATCTACAGTACATCGATGACATCATTATATGGGGGAACACAGCAGGGGAAGTCTTCGAGAAAGGAGAGAAAATAATCCAGATTCTCCTAAGAGCTGGTTTTGCCATTAAACGAAGTAAGGTCAAGGGGTCTGCTCGCAAGATGGACATCGCCAGATTCCAATGGAGGTGATTAACAAAATAGCAGCCATGTCCCCACCAACCAGCAAGAAGGAAACAGGCTTTCCTAGGTGCCATGGGCTTTTGGAGGATGCATATCCCTGAGTACAGTCAGATTGTAAGTCCTCTCTACCTTGTGACATGGAAGAAAAATGATTTCCAATGGGGCCCTGAACAACAACAAGTCTTTGAACAGATTAAACAGGAGATTGCCCATGCAGTAGCCCTTGGGCCAGTCAGGACAGGATAAGACATGAAGAATGTGTCTTTGCCAGTTGCCAAGCCACTCTCCATGATATTTGAAAAGTCATGGCAGTCAGGGGAAGTCCCAGGTGACTGGAAAAAAGGGAAACATTGTACCCGTCTTTAAAAAGGGTAGAAAGGAGGACCCTGGGAACTACCAACCTGTCAGCCTCACCTCTGTGTCTGGGAAGATCATGGAACGTATCCTCCTAGAAGCTATGCTAAGGAACATGGAGGACAGGGAGGTGATTTGAGACAGCCAGCATGGCTTCACCAAGGTCAAGTCCTTCCTGACCAACCTAGTGGTCTTCTATGATGGAGTGACTACATCACTGGACAAGGGAATGGTTACAGATGTAATTTATCTGCAGTTCTGTAAAGCCTTTGACATCGTCTCCTACAGCATCCTTCTCTCTAAATTGGAGAGAAATTAATTTCATGAGTACACTGCTAGGTGGATAAGAAAGTTGTTAGATAGTCACATCCAGAGGGTAGTGGTCAATGGCTCAGAGTCCCAATGGACATCAGTGACAAGGGGTGTCCCTCAGGGGTCTGTATTGGTACCAGTGTTATTTAATATCTTCATTAATGACATGAAGGTATCAAGTGCACCCTCAGCAGTTTTGCAGATGACACCAAGCAGAGTGATGTGGTTGACACATCTGAAGGAAGAGGTGACATCCAGAGGGACCTGGAAAAGCTCAAGTAGGCCCATGGGAATCTCATGCGGTTTAACAAGACCAAGTGCAAGGTGCTGCACCTGGGTCAGGGCAATACAGACTGGGGGATGAACAGATTGACAGCAGCTCTGCTGGGAAGGACTTGGGGGTGCTGGTAGATGAGAGGCTGGACATGAGCCGACAGTGTGCATTTGCAGCCCAGAAAGCAAATCACATCCTGGGCTGCATCAAAAGAAGTATGACCAGCATGTTGAGGGAGGTGATTCTGCCCTTCTACTCTGCTCTGGTGAGACTCCACCTGGAATACTGCATCCAGCTCTGGGGTGCCCAGTACAGGAAGGACATCAACCTGTTGGAGCAAATCCAGAGGAGGGCCAGCAAGTTGATTAGGGGGATGGAGCACCTCTCCTATGAGGAAAGGCTGAGAGAATTGGGTTTGTTTGGCCTTGGAGAAAAGAAGGCTTTGGGGTAACCTAATTGCGACCTTCCAGTACCTGAAGGGACCCTACAAGAAAGATGGAGAGAAATTTTTAAAAAGGGCATGTAGTGACAGGACAAGGGGAAATGGTTTCAAACTGAACAAGAGTAGATTTAGATTAGATGTTAGGAAAAAATTCTTTACTGTGAAGGTGGTGGGGCACTGGAACAGGTTGCCCAGAGAGGTTGTGGATGCCTCATCTCTGGAAATATTCAAGGCCAGGTTGGATGGGGCTCTGAGCAATCTGATCTAGTGAAAGGTGTCCCTGCCCATAGCAGGGGGGTTGGAACTTTATGGTCTTTAAGGTCTTTTCCCACCCAGGCCATTCTATGATTCTATAAATTGTCTTTCACTAGTAAACTAAATAAGACCTTGATTTGGGGGTGAAAAAAACCCAAACAAACCTTAAGCACTTATTAAAATATATCCCAATAAAAAATGACACTCAATCCTACACTTAAGTTTTACTGACTTCAGGATGATGGGAATAAGAGAATGAAGTGGGACACGAGTCATGCATGTAAGATGTGTTTGGAAATAAAGGATATCTTCTGAAACCATACTTAATGAACATGATCTGAAACATAACATGAACCAAGAGTTCCAGAGAGCATTTTGGTCCAGACTGAGCTAAATATTCAAAACTAAGAAAACTCAGGCAGCCTTGCACCAACCTGTCCGCCTTCCTCATATCCTAGCAGCAAGAAAGCCAAACAGAACCAATACAGAGCTCTTCAAATTGCATCTATTCATTGAATTCCTCAAATTGCATCCATACCTTGACTGAAATACCACAACATTAGTTTTCATCAGGGTTGTGAGGTAGATAGGATAGGTAGTATTCATTCAAGATCATCCTGTTCTGCCCTTCTTTGTGCTTTCTCTGACAGCACTACATTTTTCCTAGACTGCAGGTTGTTTTGGCATTTCTCATTCCATTTCCATTGGAAACTCAGAAATAAACTTGGACGATATGGAATAAGAGTAGCAATACAGTAGCTTTTTCTTTCTGAACACAGGGAAATAGATATTATCTTCTTAATAGTGGGCTATAACTGGTGAGGAAATTAAGAGCCTAAGAGTCAAAGCCAGTTCTAAGAGTTTCATTCTCATTATATCTCAATGTAGTGAAGCAAATAAATTACTCAAGGAGACATATGGAAGCTCACTATGCAAATGGCCTATTTAAGGCTTTACCTTCCTATTTAGGTACTGGTGTCAGGATGTTGGTAACCATAATTCACAGATAGATCATTTGGATACAATACAAACTGCTCTAAAACCCAAACCATCATAATGGCATGCATTAAAAAGAAGCCCTATTTAGCTTGATCTTTTTAGACTCTTTTGCTTAGTGCTTGGAATATCTGTTTCTGTGCTATGCACATCAAAATTTCATGTCTAACACTGCAATAATGGGTTTGGAAAGGGAAAAGGAAGAAACAAAAACTTTCACAGCCATAACCCCCTGTTCTTACCTTGTTCACAGATTTCGTTACTGGATTCTGCACAGGGAACCCACACTCACTTCCCAAATTCTTCATCTGACTCTGTGGCATTTCCCAGAGTAAAGAGAAAAGAGAAAACCTTGATTGGGGGAATGATTGTGCAAAAAATTATCACAAGCATTCAATGTTTGCTCTGCCCTTCTCCATTTCCTTACATCTTTCTGCATGCCTACCACCACCTGCCAGTTGGGGCCTTCTGAGCACCCAGTGCTGGAGTTTACCCTGGGCCCCACACAGTTTTGGAAGTTCCCTCAAACTTCTCCTTAACCCACAGAAATGCATAGGTTTCTCCTCCCAAGTAGCAAGTAGCCCTGGTAAGCATAACAGCATCATGGGGCCATCACAGCTTTCCCTGGCAGCCATGGGGCATGCAATGAGCAGTCATGGCAGTGAGTGGTGCCATGGATTCCTATGACGTGTGCTGGAAGGGCAAGAAGGTGTCACAGGATGTCAAACTGCCTGCTTTGTTTGGGAGTTAAAATAGGGAGCTGAAGCCAAGGATTACCACATTGTAAAACCATTTAAAACAGGGTGTTTGTGATTCAACATAGTGACTGCAGTAAACCTCCTTTGCCCTGTTCTGCACTTCTGGTATGAAAATGAGGTCTTCCTCTCCCCTTCTTCCCCTCCTTCCTCCTCTCCTTTTTTTGTCCACCTTTCTGGCCCTTCACACAAAGGTGAAATATTTTATATTTTCACCTGTGATGATGCAGATCATAGAGTGTGTTCTTTGCTTTGCTTTTCACTGTTTTTGCCCAGGGCATCCTTTTAAGCAGCAGCCTGTGCAAAGATAATAGGTGACACAATTCTCTGTAACTGGAATCAGCAACAAATTAGCCATCTGCCACTCCAGGGGTCTGAGATCAACCCAGCTACTGGACCGTGACTACATAGCATTTGCACATTTAGATTACAGAAATGTGAGGTTACTGGTCCAAAAAAATAAAAGACTGGGAGTGGGGAAGGTGTGGGGAGAAGGGATGGAAGATAACCTTGGAAGACTCCTCTGAATTAACCCTACCAGACACAAGTAATCTCATTAAAACTCTAAGCAGACAACATTTCTCATTATAAAGTGTTAAAAGGATGATGGATTTGAAGGCAGCAACTTGAGATTTGTGAGACATCATGTTTCAGGGAAATACATCCAGAGAGACCTCTTTGATACAGGGAGAAATAAAGACAAAGACTTGTCAATAGCTTTCCTCCTTGGGAAATATGACCAAGTTGCCCAGATGGCTTACCTGACCACTTGGGAAGTACAAGAGTAACATTTTTGCCCCAAGACGGACAAGATCCATTACACAGGTTCCCTTACTCCAGAGCATTGTCAAAATATCAAGGAAATGAAAGAGGTCTGCATTCTGAAATAACAAGGTTTAGGAATGTCTCTTCATTTGTTGTCAGTTTATCTTCCTGAATAACAAACACCACATTGCTACTGTACACACATGGATGCTGTTGGTCCACATTAATATTTGTCTGCATCTTTGGGATCCTCTATATAAATCTGTTGAGAATTATTATTTGGTAACTGAATTATTAAGAGATTTAAATCAGTAGTAAACACAAGCTGGCTCCACATCTAAAAGCATGAAACATGCCCTGCTCAGGTGCATGGTGGGTTAGGACAGACACCAGGGTCTCCTCTGATCACTGTGATGTGGGCTTTAATCCCTGCTCCTGCCATTTGCTGTTGTAGGTTAGAATCCCATGGTCAAGGATCTCAGGTTAAAAAGAGGAGGTTGTGCCCATAGGAAGAAGTGTAGCTGCAGCCAAAGGTATCAGCAAGAACTGGGAAATTCAGGCAAGGTCTGTATGGTATGTACCCTTGGTGAGGATGGTAGCTTAAATACACAGCTCATCTTGTTAAGTCCAAAGAGGCAACTGAAAAACAAGCAGAGCATTCACATGTGTGCAAACCCATATATTTTTAACATAGGGTCATCATAGATTGGCTTGGGTTGGATGGGACCTTAAAGATAATCTAGTTCCAGCTCCCCTACCGTGAGCAGGGACACCTTCTACTAGACCAGGTTGCTCAAAGCCCCATCCATCATGGTCTTGAACACTTCCAGGGATGGGGCATCCACAGCCTCTCTGGGCAACCCGTGCCAGTGCCACGTATGTCCTCTATTCATGAAGAACAGTTAGGATCAGGTGGAAGGTACAACAGCACACTGATTGCTCCAAGTTACTTGGCCAACCCTCTTATTGACATTTGCCATGGTTTCTTCGCCCTCTCCAAGGTTTCCTGGGCCAAGCACTACATATCCCTCAGTTGCAACAAAGATAAAAGAGCAAGAAGAGACAATACCATCTTGTCTGAGCAAGCCGAAGTCAAGCTGCGGCAACTACGTGGTACAAGGCACATCTGAGAGCTGAGGAAGAGCAAGGGAGCAATCGCTGCAGACATTCTACTCCATACAAAACCTTCTGGCATCACCTTAATTTTAAAAATGTTTTTAAAAAAAATACAACCCCCCCCTTAAAAAAAAAAAGGTACTTTCATGTACCTATGTACCTTTTCGTAGCCTGTAAATGGAGGGAAAAGGAGATCAACAAAGGGCAAAACCTTTCAGGCAAAAATCATGGCAAAACTCCATTCCCTCCCTTGCAAATTAGTCAGCCTCATGAATTGCTGAAGTTTCTGCCTAATGGTTTTTTGTTTGTTTGTTTTATCCAGGCAGGCTTTGCAGGAAGGGGCTTTTGCAACCCAAGCATCTACGCTGTATTAACCAGGTGCTCAGTTGAGCTGTGGAGTTGCCTGGAAATTGCCTTATCTCCCAGCAAATGAGAAGTGGAGAGAAACACCTACTCAGGCGATGCTGCACCTTGCAGCACAGATTAGCGTGTCCTACAAGTAACCTTGCATCAGGATACAGAGCCACGAAAGCAACCTTATGGGTACAGAGAGAGGAGGAGTAGGACAGGGAGGAGGAGGGGAAGGAATGGCGACAGGAAAACAATTAGAAAACTCCCTGTTAATCAAGTCTTCTTTCCCCCTTATTAGGAATAAATAGGTGTTCTTGCAAAGTTTGCAGTGTAGTTACATTTAGTAGTAAGAAGTGACAAGTTACTGGTTGTTCAGTTGTCAGTTACGGAAAGGTACAGTTTGCCCAGAGACAAGGGGACCTATCAGCAGCAAAGGACCAGTAACCTCCATTTTGAAAATGTTAGAGACCCTTCCCCTAATGACCATGTAATGGGGGACACATTGTAGGTGTGCTTGGAAGTTTGTGACCCCGGAGTACCTCAGCCAATGGGGAGACAGGGAGGGACCTGCGCTTCAGGCAAAGGGGATAAAAGAGTCTGTGATCTCTATCAAGTTGAGAGACCTCACTGGGTCCAGTGAACTCTCCTTTTTACTGGAATAAAAGTTTTAGTTAGCTCCTCTATCTCTTGGCTATTTTTGAGGCTCTTAATACCAGAAATATATATTTTTCAGAACATTCTCTATGAAAAAAAATTAAAAAATAAAAATCCCTCCACAATATGGAGATGGCAGGAGAGGATGAGCCCCTCTCTACCCCAAGTCCCCAGAAAAGGTCCCCTTCTCTTTCCCAGAACCCCTAAATATCACTGGGGGTGGCTGAGTCACATTTAAAAGGTGAATGGGAAGCAGGGTGGAGAGAGGGCACCTCTGAGCCTGGGCGGCGGCCCGGCAGCCACAGCCATTCTCATTCCTGGCATCCCTGCTCTCCAGCACAGCCCAGCTTCGAAATATTAGTGTGGCGCAGAGTGCCATTTTCAAGTCTTTGCAGCTCCTTCTTGGCACCAGTTCAGCTTTTTGTCTTGCCTTCTCCTCCGAGCACCCAGCAGAGGGAGGAGAAAAGAAAGGAAGAAAATAAAGCCCCACTGCTTCGCTGCTGGAGCCGCCTGGCTCCCTGGAGCCTGCCCCCCTGCCCTGCTGCCTGTGGCACCACATACCCTCCCAGTCTGCTCCCAACCATACCACTTGGCAAAAAAATCTTTTCCCACCTTCACAGCAGCCAGTTCACAGCCTCTTTCCTCCTGCTCTGCCACCCTTTTCATCGCTCTCTCCTTTGTACTCCTCTAAATTTTTCCAGCCAAGCGTTACAGCCTTCCACACACACCCTTTCTCTTCCATTCCCAACCCTCCCACCTCCTCCCCTCACAACGGCAAAAAGAATTGTGTCATGGTTGCCAATGACATCTCCTCAGAGTGGAGAGCCACTGCACCCACAACATGCCTTGCAGGTCCATTCCAACTCACAGCTACCCAAGCACAGTCAAGCTGCAGTGCTCACGGGCACACGTGTGTGCACACGTCATGGGGCAGGATGTACTCTGCATCCCTTGGCATTGCTGTAAATACAAACTTCCTGCAAGCTTGTGTTTGGCAACTGAATCTCTCCACCTGCTTGTGGGGCCAGGAGAAAAATGGAGGCAGAATAAGGAGGGAGGGAAGGAGGGTGTATTTTTTTAAGCAACCCGAACATGGCACTGAGTGCTTCCAGCAGCAACTTCTCAGCCTGCTGTGCTGGCAATGAGCTGCTGCTTCCAGCCTGGCACCAAATTTGATTTGGTTTTTTCTCCTTTTCAACACTCTGCTTCCAAATATTTATTCTCTCTTTTTTCTTTTTTTTTTTTCCACTTTTTCCCTCTTAGCTTGTCCATAGAGACAAGACTTGTCCATAGGCTTGTCACCTTCTCTCTGGTAACCAATGATAGGACCTGACAGCATGGCATGAAGCTGTGTTGGGGAGGTTCAGGTTAGATATTTGGAAAAGGTTCTTCACCCAGAGGGTGCTTGGGCACTGGAACAGGCTCCCCAAGGAAATGGTCACAGCACCAAGCCTGACAGAGTTCAAGAAACGTTTGGACAATGCTCTCAGGTACACAGTGTGATTCTTGGGGCTGTCCTGTGCAGGGCCACATGTGGACTCCATGACCCTTGTGGGTCCCTTCCAACTCAGGATATTCTATGATTCCATGATTCTAGAGGGACTACCTCTCACTCCCACCAACAAATCCAAAGCAGCATGTGTGGAAGGAGCACCAAAGGGAGTGAAACATGA